GAGAGATATGGATGGGAGAAAAAAATGAGGGAGGGATGGGGGGAAAGAAAACAGTGGGGGGGGGAGAGAGGGGACAACATACACACAGCACCCCTGCCCTACACATATCACCCCACACAAACACACACACATCACACCCCACACACAAACACATCACCCCACACACAAACACATCACCGCACACACAAACACATACACTGTACCCCTCAATGCAGTGTGTGTATTTAGCAGTCTGTGTGTGTACACTCAGCAGTCTGTCTGTGTGTGTGTGTATTTAGCAGTCTGTGTGTGTGTATTTAGCAGACTGTGTACTCAGCAGTCTGTGTGTATTCAGCAGTCTGCTAAATACACATACAGACAGACTGCCAAGCACACACACAAACTGCTTAATACACACACAGATGTTAATTAGTTCGGACAACTGTATGAGTTGTTTCTTCTAAACTTAAACCTCAATATTCAGGTTTAATTGCCGTTTTGGCACTTTGAGGGGAAAAAAAATTGGCATGTATTACGGTTTGGGCACTCGGGCTCAAAAAGGTTCGCCATCACTGGCCTAGATTAAGTAAATCGCTCCCCACATCCGACAAATGTACACCATCTCTTCTGAAGTAGCCGGGCAACATGCCCTCCAACTCCCGGTGTCGTACTACGACGCCTCCCAAACGCCTAATAAAAACCACCATGGTCTTATTGACCTTACCCCTGCATCGGGCCGCTGCAACTGGATCCCCGGCGTGCCGCCAAGTAAAACGGGGCACCATTTCAGACCATACCACCACCACACCAGGAACCAGCCCCAGGAGCCGATCCATGTCCCTCTTCATCCTTCTTACTAGTTCTCTTTGGGGGAAAAGCCCTAAGTCGTTCCCCCCCCCGCCGTGAACCACTAACACGTCCGGTACTGACCCCCCGACACCTTTCTAAACCAAACGCTACTTAAACACTGCTATCTAAACCCCCGAAAACCAAACCATGATATCGCCACCCGGTCCTGAGGAAAGCCCAGCTGTGTTCCATTTCTTATAACTGCGGCTCTCTTCTGTGTGCAATATACAAACGAATGGCTGATTAACCACACCTTCCAACCTGCAACGAAACAAATGTTAGTGCCATGGTATCGAACTTACTTACTCCACCATAACCACACATTCCCCCCATTTCACACCAACCTGTCGGGTCTCACGTATGATCGGAAGCGCAAGGATTCCCATCTCCCTATCTGTTTGATCCTCTCGTCCCCCAGACCTAACCTCGCTGCCTCCATTGCTGCCTCAATACGGAACGAATGTGTCCCGAACTGCATAGGCTCCAAGCCCAGCTTTTGTAATCCCAGCCGGAAGACCCTTGTGAACTGAAAACGTGACAGCACCGCACCGTCAGCGTGCACGAAAAAACAGCCCTTAACCACCGGGCGTAGCGCCTGGTACCCTGCGCCCCGCTCCACAGGACATACCTCGGATCCCGGCAACTCAAAAACACCACTGAGCAACCTTTCCCAAAAATGTCAGTTTTGGATCTGCCCAGCTTCATACGCACTCTGTCGGTGCTTATTGCAACGTCCTCGAGCTGCAGCCCTCCTACCCCCGCTTTGTTAGCGCTTACCAACTCCCCTATCTGAAAAGGCCCAAACAAACGCCCCTACGAACAATGCCACCTCGAATGGAGAGAGGCAAATTTCGGGCAGCGCCTCCACCAACCTTTGTAATATCCCGAAAGACAATGGCCTCCTCGTATCAACCGTCTTCTTCCCTCTCCTGAAACCTTTAATCGCCTGCCGGACCAGAAAATGCTTAGTGAAGTCTTCCCACCCATTGAACTTAAATAGGAAAGCCAAGGCGGACATGTGTTGTTAACCATGGCAGGCGATGCCTGTTTTGCAAACAACCGGCAAAGTATCTACAGTAGTACATCCAGCTGCCTAGCCCCTGAGTGATCACCCCCTACCTGTTCCACCATCTCGTCCCACACTTTCCAGACCTTAACATACGTGGACCATGTGTTTGGCGCCAACGATTTCCTAATGCACTCCCCAAGCAGGCAGTCCCGAGTTGCCACATTTCGAAAGGACATGCCTGCCCTTGCTTCCTCGCGCCAGGTGCCGCTTCCCGGAAACGCTCCCACTGAAAACGAGACAGCGCATCAGCCACTACATTTTTGAACCCCGAGATGTGCCTAGCCCTGAACACGTTAAAGGACATACAAAGAAGTACTAACTGCCTCAACAAGCGCACCACTGGTGGCGAGGATGGAGACAAGCTGTTGATCGTTTGCACCACTGCCATGTTGTCGGAGTAAAATATGACTTTATTATTGGCTAGCTCCGAACCCCATAGCGCCACTGCTACCACAGCTGGGAAAAATTCAAAAAATGCTAAATTTCTGATAAGCGGGCTCGCCCTCCACGACTCAGGCCACCCCTCAGCACACCATTTCCCAGTCAAGTAAGCCCCGAAACCAATGCTGCCCGACGCGTCCGTAAACAGCCCCATAGTATCCGACAACGCCGGTTCCCGGAAAAACACCTTCCCGTTAAAGTTGCGTAAAAACCGGTCCCACACCCACAGGTCTTCCTTCGTGTCAGCCGACACCCTAATATAATTGGATGGCCGCCGCACCCCGCTCGTCGCTTGAGCTAACCGTCTACAAAAGATGCAAAGTTAAGACTCCCTATCAACGACTGTAGCCCCCTCAAGGTTACCTTTCTTGCTCCCCTGACCGTGTGTACTAGGTGCCGTAAACTCTGCAGTTGGGCAGCCTGCATTCCCTTTGTTCCGAATCAATCTCCAACCCCAAAAAGCTAATGCACGTGGTGGGGCCCACCGTCTTATCCTCTGCCAAGGGCACCCTGAACGAATGTGCTACCCACTGGAATACCCTCAGCACCTTCCCGCACCGCTCGGAGTCCCGTGGACCAACGCATAAAAAATCATCCAAATAGTGTACCACTGCGCACCCCGCCGACTCCCGGCGCACCACCCATTCCATAAACGTACTAAAATAAATCGAAATAACATCCCAGGAGGTGATGACAATCTGGATGTATGGGAAGCAGCCGAAAAGCTGCCTCCACGTCAACCTTCGCCATCAGCGCCCCGTGCCCAGCCCTCCGAACCAACTCGACTGCCTTGTCGAATGATGTATAGGAGACAGAGCACAGGTCCGCATCGATGTCATCATTTACCGAAGCCCCTTTCGGGTGCGACAAGTGATGAATCAAACGGAATTTGCCCACCTCCTTCTTGGGGACCACTCCTAGAGGGGATACCCGCAAGTCCGCCAATGGCGGGGCCAGAAACAGCCCTGCCATCCTTACCAATTGGATGTCCTTAGTTAACTTCTCCCTCACCACCCCCGGATGTTCCCTTACCGACTTATTCCACCTGGTCCCTTTGCCGTGAAGGGGGTTTTAAAGCCTTCTGTGAAGCCCCTCCATAAAAACTTTTTTGATGACGGTTTGACACTGCTGTCATCGATGCCGTATGCTCTGTAATGACGGTTTGACACTGCTGTCATCGATGCCGTATGCTCTGTAATAACGGTTTGACACTGCTGTCATCGATGCCGTATGCTCTGTAATGACGGTTTGACACTGCTGTCATCGATGCCGTATGCTCTGTAATGACGGTTTGACACTGCTGTCATCGATGCCGTATGCTCTGTAATGACGGTTTGACACTGCTGTCATCGATGCCGTATGCTCTGTAATGACGGTTTGACACTGCTGTCATCGATGCCGTATGCTCTGTAATAACTGTTTGACACTGCTGTCATCGATGCCGTATGCTCTGTAATGACGGTTTGACACTGCTGTCATCGATGCCGTATGCTCTGTAATAATGGTTTGACACTGCTGTCATCGATGCCGTATGCTCTGTAATGACGGTTTGACACTGCTGTCATCGATGCCGTATGCTCTGTAATAATGGTTTGACAGACACTGTGCTATCACTGATGCTGCTCAGGGTAGTGCTAGAACATAAATGTGGGACTTACAAGACTTTTATTGAGTCACAGAAATTGGTCAGTTTAAATTCTGATTCAGTGAAGGTATTGAGCCTAAATGTATAGGGTCCTCGTTATATTAACAGAGGTCACACAGCAACTCCGAAATGATTTTGTGATTTTCTAGATGCTGTAATTTCACTAGTAGCCATTAGGTGGCACTGCTGACTGAAGCTAGCGCATGTTTCTGGATTTTCTTAGAAAAAATTGCTGAAATGAATTGATTTATTTTTTATGTTTCACTGTGTTTCTCTCTTACAAAAAATTTGATAAATTGCTATTTTTATTCATATGGACAATGTCCCAAACAAATATGAACCAGCTCTGCCCATGGGAGGTTCTGCGTCTGTCTGGAAGCTTCTAGTGCAGTCCAATGTTTAGTGTCTAGACGAGTGTATGTATTTATTTATTTATTCACCAGTTTGTACATAGCACTCTTATCCAACACTTTACAATTTATTAAAAAACAACAACCAAAGGATAAATGTGCAGATACACTGAAACAAAAGGAGAAAGGAAAGCTGCCAGTGAGCTTACAATCTGGGGGGAATTGTACATTGAGACAAGAGGTCAAGGGGAGAAAATACCATTGTGAAGCAACAGAAATGTATCCATGATTGTACCATTATCATCTTAAATAAAGAACCTCCGTCAATCCCAGGAATACCCTTGTAACAGCTAGAAACAGCATGGCCAAAGGGTAGAAACATTGAAGCTCACAGACAAACAGGCAGGCAGGCAGGCAGGCAGGCAGGCAGGCAGACAGACAGATAAATATTTTAAAATGTCTGATATTTTCAATCTGTTTTTTTTGTTTCATATTTACATAGTTAGTTACATAGTTACATAGTTAGTTACATGGGCTGACAAGAGACATGTGTCCATCAAGTTCAGCCTTCCTCACATTTGTTTTTTGCTGTTTGTTACGGTTGCCCCAGGCTAGCTGAGGGTTGGACCGCCTGGATGTCCTTGTATGTACATAGCGGGGAATTACGATGCCACATAAACATAGATAACCCCAATAAAACCCCCCCAATAACGACAGACAAGTTAGTATGGATGAACAGGCCACAGCATTTATTATAACATAAATAAATGACTGCATAACACGTCCATAACTTTATTTATTAAACTCTTCTTTCTGTTAGAAATAATCATAAATTAACATATATACATATAATAACTAAAACATAGTGCTATGCAGAGACCCGATCGTCCTTGCCAATAAACATCCAGTGGTTCCTAATCACCACTTCCTCTCACCTCCCCTCTCGTCATAAAAAATCCTTCCAATCCCCGCCATCAGCCGACCTTATCCACGCTCGATGGGCACGATACCTCAGGCAACCTAATGTTTAACCTTTTGAAGCAGGGGAGGTTGAGACCTGCAAAACATAAAAACTTACTCCA